ATTATATAAAAAAGAATATGTATAACATTTTAGTTTTTATTAGTTAGGTTAGGGCCTAGTTAAAATAATGGTGTAGTAATGGAGTAGGCCTATGACGAAATATATAATTCACGAAAACGAATTTTAAGTACCTTTATGTACCATCCTTATCATTTTCCAACCCCATCTCCGCCTCAATTTAGTTACAGACCCTACTCGACTGAAATTTTTCTCGTGTCAAAAATAATCACCAAAGCCCTATCAATGAAATACAGTATAGTATTAAACTGAATAGGATATTTAAGGATTTAAATCTATATTGTATGAAATAAGGCGACTTGATCTTCAAACTTGTGAAGGAATCAGTTTGCAAAACGACGGCAGAGCCGAGCTGAATGGAACGGACGTCCGGAGATAAGCGGCACTATGATAAGACACACGAGTCCTACATCACACCCACCATGGTACAGTATGATGTCTCTGGCGGATGTACGGCTATATAAAGACAAGTGATATACATATTGCCAATCCATCAACTAAATGTATTCGTATTATTCAACCCCCATTATCCAGCACTTTATCTGAGTTCTACAGTAAAACAATAATTTGATACAAAACATATCAATTTCTATCTCTATAATCAAATACTTTTGAATTATACTGTTTGCGAATTTTCTATGTAAGGGTTGTGATAAGGGATGTGAATCATTTTACGTGAACACATAACTATAATTATAATATAGGACTTCGGGAATTAATATTTAAAAAGACGACTTTGAAATATATCGGATATGCCGATTATTGTCCCCTCCGAAGTTCATGAGGTCGGTCGTTGATGGTCGTAGGTCAGTCATCTAGAGACGACTGCAAGCTTACGTTAATTAATTACACCAATTGAACGTCTCCGTCTGTCGAACTACGGGTTTGCTAATCGGCACTCCGATCCTGATCCATGAATACTGTAGTATGAATATTACAATGAATTTCTACATCAGCATTTTAAAAGTGTCAGTCCAGTTTAATTCAAGTACAAGTTCAGATTAATAAATCGTGAAAACTACCATTTAGGTTAATTCGTTGTAGCTCACGTATGGATTTATTTATTTATTTAATCTAAGAGACTATTGAGATAAAACTAATCAAACAAGCCTGTAAAAACTGTACACATTTTGTGCTATTTACCTTCTTTACTGCCATTCCAGAATTTTCCCACTTACTTTGAACAGCTAATTCACGCAAGAATAATAATAGATAGACAAATAACGAAATTACCCAAAATACCGATAGAAAATGCTGAAGAAGATAACCAATGCACTTTGGTATGACACTAAAGAAGTCTAAATGAAGAACTTAAGATAGCCACAGTCATAAGGAAGAAACAATGATCTTACAGGGAAAGATATGTTTCGAAATTAGAATCTCATCCAAATCATTTAGCAATTGAACTTGCTCAATAACGCAGACGCGATTTGTAGACTTAGGAAACCCTCAACTAGACATGCCATCCTCATGTTAAATTTGTAGCCAGATTTTGATATCAAAATCGTCGTAGTTGATGTCAGCCACCTACAGATTGCGCTGATCTAGATTACTAAGTTATGTCAAATACACAAACTTAGGGAATGACTTACGATAAGTTATAGCAATAGTTATGACCCATCAACCTGGTCAGCAACTCATAATAAGGTATAAAATAGAAGTTTAGACGCTAGCGCATTCTGTGACTGGCTCACAAAACTACGTTCTTTTTAATACAAAAAAAATAGCTGTAGCCACAGCCATCTTAAACTCCAGGCCGCGGCCTGGTAGAATTGGCAACGTTGCAAGGAGTGTTTTGTCTATAGACGTCCAATAAAATAACAAGGCAGACAGGTGTCACCAGCTCATTAATTTGCGTACTATTCATTTGAATTTATTAAATGATTGAAAGTAAAACTTATAGAATTGAATACCAAAACAATATTTAAATTGAAAATCTATTTTTTTACATTTAAAGTGGAGTCAATATTTTCATAACCCAATAACCAAGCTTTCGTATTCTTAAAACAATACACAAATACCATTAGCTGCCTCCAAACAAAACAGCTGTTACAACCCTACTTGCGATGTTGCCACTTCGAAGGCCGTGGCCTGGAGTTAAAGGTGGCCATGTTAGCAGCTATTGTTAATGTTCAAAGGTTACTGGCTTGTTGCATTGCATGACATTTACTTCGTTCATCATATTTTTATAGAATTGTAAAGTAAAAACAAAATAAAAAAATAACGAGCTGCCAGCGTGCTTTGCAACAGGATGCGTAAGAGAACAATGTTGGTTTTTGAGATTTGCTGTATGAAATAGTTACACATGCCTCATGCATGGTTAATTTACAAAAAAAAAACACTCAATTTTCAGGTAAGGAGTTTAAATTTTATAGGCAAATTAGTGCGGTTTAAAAGAGATGCTCATGCGTTTGCAAATATGCTTTAACTTCATGTGTAACTACATGATTTAATTTGAAGAGATATCCTTACTAATAAGTGTACTTAAATTTAAAACCCTAATTATATTTTAAGCCAGTAGATCCAACAGAATTTAAGAACACTCTGTAGTGTATCAATGCAATCAATAATTAGGCTACTTCTAATTCATGTCACATAAAGAATAAAAAAGTTAGTCAAGGCTTTTTTTCTGTATCAATGTAGCCTTACTGTATACATTTCACAGAAAACGATTTGTTGTATCGGATTGGCGATGTATTGGCGACGCCGTCGAGTGCTGCCAACATGACCCAAACAAAACCTTCTTGAAGAAGCATACCTCACCTGCGTATTTTTTATTATGTTTTAAAGGGTGATAATGATGTAGACAATTGATTTAATATTCATAATATTTTATACACTCTGAAATAGTTATCTTACTATACTTAATAATATTAATTTATCACTGATGTTTTGTTATCTCTATTGTTTAGTTATTTATCACTATTATTATAAGCGAGCTAGTTTTTTTTATTCAGTGAGTTTCATTCAGCGAACACAGAATAAAAGGGAATCGGCTTGTGGGGCTTAGCCATTAGGGGGCTATTATTTTCAACAATATTTTCGACAAAACTACACACTCTAAACTTCATTTTGATGTACCATGTGCCTACATTTTATTTGGTTAATGGCCTAAAAACGATGACCGCAAAATTTGACCTTAGGCTATCACTTAAATAATAATGGATGGATATTGCTTTGCTTTATTAAATTGTGTTCATGCAACTGTTTTACATCGCATTGCCAAACGTCCAAACAGTGATACAAAATCGAATAAAGTTATAGATTTTAGATTGCTACAAATTATACCAATCTATTAAAAAACTCCAGAGTAGAATATGAAATGCGATTTTGAAATGGATTTGGGATGTTCGATAGGTCGTATGCCGTGTCTCAGCATCTTCTTGACAGGCGTCAGGCTTGGCTTGGCCGGGCGAGTGGCGGTATGGTGGCGGTGTCCTTGGGTGTGAGCTCCAGCTCTTGTTAAATATGGCTTCTTGTTCTTGTGGGACTGTAACTTACGATAACACCACTCATATAACTAACGTTCAAAACGTTTAACGTGAGCCGCTTACCCATTGTTGTTGTTTCTCATTAGCATGTAAAATAAGGAAAGAGGAAGGGTCATACTTCATAAGCAGATCATAAAAATGGTTTATACTTATAATATATAAAGGATCCAGTCTTACAACTTACTAATTAATACAACTATTGTAGACATTTGATATGCACTCTATATACCCAAAACTATTGGTTTGGTGGTGGTACTTTTTTAGTTAGGCCTATACAGGATGTTAGATCTCCAAAAATGTGCATATCTGGTGACTGGTGAGTGGAACTGGCAATTTTGAATTTTTGAGGTTATTTATAGTTACCAAAATATTGTGACATGACTTAAGAAAAATGTTGCAATAAACATTTTCATATTATTCTACCTTCTAATTTCTACTTTATATTTTTAAAATATTTATTGATTATCGCATAAAAAACTTAAAATTTTTATTAAAATGTTTAATCTATTATCAACTCTTTGTATCACACTTTAAATGTATTTTTTATAGGCTAAGAAAATGTTTTAAACAAAAAGTAATCCAATCCGATCAATTATGCCCTCGAGAGAAAAATGAAGATAATTTAAAGTCAAATTCCTTATGAGAACTTGTAGAAACATGTTTTTGGGTTTGGTAACTTTTGAAGGAACTAATCTATACAACGAGTTATGTTTTCACCATTGACTATTGGATACTGAAGATATTACTTTTTATTCGAATACACATTTTTGGTTGTGAATAAAATGAATACCGGAGCTAGTCACATTTTACTCACTGATTTTCTCAAGCTACATTTGGAAGTGACACTGTTAATCAGCAAGTGATGGTCAAGTGATAATGTCAAGAATGACTCAGATAGGAGTGTGTTAAGCTCATCTGTACCAGTCACCAGCGTGGGGACCAACCAGACCATCTGGTGCTGATGACCTCACTAACTCACTAGATGTGTTTTTGTTAAGGTTCTTCAATCAAGAGCAATGGAATTGCAAGTGGCACTCAGTCTATAAATATGTCACAAATAACTTATCTAATTGGTTTTAATTTGCTTTGAAATTATTTAACCTGATAGCAATACCAGTTTCTTGAATTCTAGAACTTCGAGCTCCTGGATCTAAAACCGATTAGGAGATTTAATCACTTCCTCGAATTTCCTCCCTTCCTCCAATTAAATAGTTACCATGGCACAACAAGAAAGTGAAATAATAGACAATAAAATATTTGTTTGGTATATTCCTTAAAAATAGCAAAAACAAATATTTCTGTAAGTCCCAAAAAAGATCAGTCCACCTCAGAAACATTTGTCGTTGAAATACTGACTATTGTCCAAACCCCCTTAAAGTTTTACATTTTGATATTCTAAAAGTAAGTTCAAATTATTTATATTTGGATATTATGTCTATAAATAGAAGGTGTTCCTGGTTTAGTGATGTCAGTATGTTTCCTCTGTTGCAGGCAAGCTGGCAAGATGAGGGTCCTATCACTTGCATTGTTGTTCCTGTTTGTAATTGTATTTATAGACGATTCTTCTGCGCAACAGAAATTAGTAAGTGGTTTATAAGCAATTTTTCCGATCATTATAAGATCATTTCAAATTTGTCGGATGTACCCAATGAAGAGGTTGATATTTTTGAATTGATATACTAGAGTAGATGCTCAAACACGCTACAAAATTGAAACTCTACGCACTGTTTACTAACATGTAATGTAAAAAAAATCCTGCTGAGTCTCATTTGATTCTGATTAATCATAATAAAATGTCAGAGCAATAAAATAACAACTAAATTTATGAAAAAGGTTTGCTAGAGAGATTTAAAAAAGTGTGCGTATGTATCAATCAACAAAGGGTACTTTTTTGAATATTTTTTTTAAATTTATATTATATAAGTAGTCCTAAACATGCAAGAAAATATTTATATTAATTTCAATAAGAGGATCACAAATCAAATTAATTTAATTGATATATGGTAAATTACTAACCTATCTCTTTAATTACTTTAATTTTAAAAGTGAAATCAAGAATTAATTTGAAATGGTTTTGTGAATATAATTACATCAGCAGAAACACACCATTATTGCTGATGACTTACTTTATTTTGACTGACTTTGATGTTTGTGTTCGGACAGCGTAAGCACAAGAAGTATAAGCCCCGACACCATCACAAGTTGCAGCACATCCCTGAGGAGGAGACCCTGCCTGAGTGGAAGGAGGTGGGGATGGGGATGGAGAAGCTAGAGGTGCCTCAGGTCCCACAACTGCTCATCACCAACAATGTGCCAATCTCTGGTGAGTGTAACTGGCAATGTTCAGCTTATTTGATAGTTACAAAAATATAATGGTATTATGTTCCAACCCCATGTTTATGTTGTCATAAGTTGTATAATCATTATGGAAGTTGTTTTTAGCCACTTTCTTTGTCAGCAGTTTTGAAGAATTTAGACTTATTTTGATGAGTTAATTCCTTGTGCCTAGATTTAAAAATACAGTAGAAATAAATAAAATATGATTGCAGATCCGTGCCTACACAAGCACTGTGGAGCTGGCCGAGTTTGCCATCTCAGTGATGATGGTGAGGCAGAGTGTCTGTGTATCCCTTCTTGCCCACTGGAACGTGATCCTCGCAGAAAGGTGGGTTAACAAGTTTTTTTTCTAAGATGGTTTCATCTTGCTCATCTTTCAAGCAACCCCTCTCGCTCTCGTGGTTGTCTCAGTTCCCTGAGTAAACCCAATTGCACAAACCCAAAAAGCTAACCCCCACGAAGCACTACACTAGAAAGACAAGAATTATTGTGTGGATGGTACTCTTTGAATATAGTGTTTTTTCAGGTTGTTTCACACCCAATAGTAGATTTAATGACGAGTTCTATAAATTTAAATATCATCATTGATTTTTGGATACTGAAGTAGACATCCCATCTTTAAAATGTGAACCAACTGCAGCCAATTTTTACGGTGGACACGGTGGTTGCTGAGGGCCTCAAGGGGATTTCTTTTCAAGAGGGTTTAAATTTTGCCAAGCTTCAAAGAAGTTGTGAAGGTTGCAGGATTGGAAATCTGGATTTTGTCGCGATTATTGGAGACGAAGATGATGTCCCTGTAAAAGCAGAAGACGTTCACCATTTTGTCATGAGAACAGGAGACGATTGAAAGGATGTCTCCGTGGTTGGCAAAGATGTTAACTGTTTCACCTCTCATGGTAGGAGACATTTACAATTTCTTCTGTGATGACCACAATTTCATTATTTAAATAGATTTAAGTGAAAAATCAATCAGACAAATGGAAATTAGCTGAGTCCGCAGGTTTGATTTGGCGAGGGTATTTTGAATTAGTTTCGTGTTCAAGATCTCGCCTCATTTAAACTAATTAGTGTATAACAATATTTTAATTAAATCAATACTTTCCAAAGTAACCTGATTTTGGCTCAAGACCCACAAAAGGTCTAGCCCGCAGACCCCTAATATTATTTATCAAAAAATAAAATGAAATATTAGGTCTATATCCCGATTGGATCTAGAAAAGAAAGGGTCGAGTCCATTGTGTTGAAGCAATCACCACTTGTATTTCTAAACCCCCTACGCCTCAACCATCGAAGAATCAGAATGGAGTGGCCTCTCGGGTGTGGCCGCCAGGGGCCTTAGAGGTTCTAAATACATTCCTAATATGCCTAAATATGCTGTAGTTTACAATAGGTTAGCGTATTTGACAGAAAGTTAACAATAGCACTCTCTGTCAGTGTTTCAAATCAACTACCTTCATGTTTATCCTAAAACTAGCTACATCTTTTGCAATTGGATGTCTACTTCTTTTAACTAATAGTTAACAAACTACATTACTTCGTTTATTTATTTGAACCCCCAAAAATGTACTCTAAATTAGATTTTACATTTTTTAGTTTTGTAAATAATGTTGTTATTGACTGGTATACTACTAGAAGCGATTGCTGTAGGTGTGCACCAACCACAACGAGACCTGGGGTTCGGACTGTGAGGTCTACCAGATGCAGTGCTACTGTGACGAGGGCAGTGACAAGTGCACCAAGGAGGAATACCAGCACATACAGATAGACTACTACGGCCAGTGTCGCGAGATGCCGGTTTGTATCATTACTTACTTACATAATAATTGTCTAGACATGCCTTCAATTTATTTAACAAACAAACAGCCAAAAATCTAAAGGCAATTTTAAACTTTATCACTCAAGTTTGAATATAGTTTTTTTATTATATGTCCTCACAGGCTATTTTAGTTTGAGATTCTACTGTATAATGAAATACATAATGACTATCATTACAAAATAATAATAACTGTTAATCAAGTTTATTTATGAAAATGTGAATTAAAATTGTAGGAGTGCAAGGAGGATGAGATGGCAGACTTCCCTCGCCGCATGAGGGATTGGCTGTTCAACATCATGAGGGACCTGGCTGACCGACAGGAGCTGTCCCCCCACTACCTCAAACTGGAGCGCGAAGCAGAGACTAACCTCACCCGAAGATGGAGCAACGCAGCGGTGTGGAAGTGGTGTGACCTCGACGGCCACCCACACGACAGGTATAGAGCATTACAGCTTTAACTGTAACACAATTTTGTTTTAATTTACAAAAGGGTGATTTACTTAGTCAACGGTATTTATAATTTTTTACTAAAAAAACCTTTGAATAGCATTAGTATAATATCCACTCTTAACTAAGTTAACACCCCCACCGCAGCAAACCTGCAGACTCACTGAAATGTTCATAGCTTAATACGAAGTAAATAAATTTGCCTACGACCATTTGTTGTAGCCATTTCAGTTCAGTTCTTAGAATGGAAAAGTTTCACATAACAGCATAGTTTTACTTATCAACACGGATAACGGACCAATGAGGTTCAAGGATTGAGAGAGAAGAAGTAATGTTGTAATGAATCAAACTTTGAACTACACTAATCATCTGTTTAGGCCAATTAAATTGTTGAGTGATGATTAAATTGTTGGGGTGTTTGGTACAATGTTTCGTTGCATCACTGTTAGTGGCAGTGAGAGATTATAAACAAAAACATAACCTCTCTTAGAAGTTATGAGTAGTGATTTTAGTAATTAAAACACTGTCGTAGGTAAAGAATGGTAGTGTACGCAAGTTTTTGAGGCACTCATCAAGGCACACTTGTGATATGCCTAAATAAAAAAAGTAAGTTCAATTATTAACTTGTTGTTGTCGATTTGCCTTAAATTTTATACTCGTGTCGTTAACACTATCTTTACGCAATCGTTGTGTAAACTACTATTGCCAAATTTGATCAATATATACCCATATTGGCAGTTTTAGCGAGTTTCCTTACAGGGAAGTAGTTATTACCGTAGGTCTCATGGTAAGACCTAGGCCCGGGACCGATTTACTTTTTCATTTTGATGTACCCAGAGGCCAAAAACACCATTCGTTCAAATTTTTATATATGTATATATATATATATATCTATATATGTGTCCGTCCGGACGATAACTTAAGTAATTTTTGTCCGATTTTGATAAAATTTGGTTTGAAGGAGTAAGGCGGGATAAACTTGAATGAGTTTGCGAACCAGCATGATCGGACCATGGGAATGGGGTTTAACAGGGGGTTTTATGGGGTAAAAATGGGTTTTTCTCACTTTTTACCCTTAAAACACAAAATTTATAAATTTTTCTCCAAACCTTTTTAAAAAGCTTAAAAAACAAATAATTTAGTATATCAAAGTGTTTGTGTACAGTGATTGGTTACGGAGAAAATTCAAAAAAATGTTAATTTCAAATTCCCATGTTATTCTTATAGAAAATATTGTAAAATGTTGTGGCTTGTTAATGAATATATTTTGATCAAACTTGGCAGATTTATTTATTTCAAACTAAGCTATTGATATTTTAATAAAAAACCGCACTTTATTAGTTTCCCTGTAGCAGCTAACCTAGGTCACAGAAAACATACTACTATAACCCAGAATGCCAACCGCATGGTAAAAAGCATTAAGTGTTTTGAGAGAGCTTTGCCTGTCAATCGTAGGCAGCGCCACCAGCGTTGCTATGCTGAGTGCATGGCAACGCTGGTGGCGCTGCCTACGATTGACAGGCAAAGCTCTCTCAAAACACTTAATGCTTTTTACCACGCGGTTGGCATTCCGGGGTAATAGTAATATGTTTTCTGTGCCTAGGTACTCGTTAAACATAAATGTTAATTTAATAGATTAATTGAAAATCAGTCCAGGCAAATGGAAATACACTTAGTCGGCAGGTTTGCTGCAGCGGTGGTATTATTATTCTCCATAAGAATAATATGAGGATAAGAATAATATCTTAACCCTTCAAGTGGCAGTGCGACTATAATAGTCACGTTTTGTAAAGGTTTTTGAACACCAAATAAACGTGAAATGTGAATCAGCAATATATAATTTTGTAACTAACATAAATAGTAAAAGTTACGGAGTAGAATGCTTTATCACTGGTCTGTCAGATCATGATGGGCAACTGTTTAAGTTAATAGTAACTAAGGGTAGCAATGATAAGAAGTGTAAAATAAATTTGGAGAGTAGAAAGTTCAGCCAGGATAGTATAAACATGTTTATTAAAGATCTAGCTAATGAAGATTGGACCCAGCTGTACACTAGACCAGTAGATGAAAAGTTTACCTATTTTTACGATATTCTGAAATATTATTTCAATTTGCATTTTCCAAAAGCCAAAACAGTAAAACATAATAATCGCAACCAATGGATTGATGATGAAGTCATTTTTAAGAGAAGAAACATAATTGATCAGTACCATGTGTATAGAAACAACAAAAGTAATATAGTATTAAAAAACCTTATTAAAGAACAAAAGAAGCAGTATAACCTAATGATTCAAACAAAGAAAAAAAATATGTTTAGTAATAAAATTAAAAATTCTGCTAATGTTAACAAAACGGTATGGAGAATGGTGAACAACGAAATACGAAGTAAAAGAGAAAAGCAATTTTCTAATATTGTTCTAAAGCACAATGGAATTAAAATTAAAAACCCTGATATTGTTTCAAATGTTTTAAATGATTACTTTGCTGATGTGGTGGAAAATCAGGTCATACCCAAAATTAACCTTAATAAAAACGTGTTACCAGTTGGTATAAACGCTTACTCTACAGAAACAAGATTCAATTGCAAAACCATTGACGAGAAAATACTAAATAATATGATTGATTCTCTGAAACCAAAGTGGTCATCCGGATATGACGAAATTCCAACTAAAATTCTAAAAGAAGCCAAATCAGTTCTATTAAAGCCATTGGTTCACGTTATAAACTCTTCCCTTATAACTGGTGTTTACCCGGCACAGCTAAAAATTTCCAAGATAATTCCTGTTCATAAAAAGGGGACACTTGAGGAGGTTTCTAATTATAGACCATTAGCAATACAACCATCTCTTTCCAAACTCTTTGAGAAAAGTATACTGTACCAATTAATAGATTATTATGAAAAAAACAATATGTTAGACTCAGAACAACACGGCTACAGAAAAGACAAGTCCACCACATCAGCATTGATATCTTTTATTGAAGATATTTTAGATAATTTAGATAAAGACAATTGTGTTGTTGGTGCTTTTTTAGATATGACTAAAGCTTTTGATAGTGTTCACCATCCCACATTAATCAATAGGCTTGGAAGTAATGGTATTTCTGGTAAAGAGTTAAACTGGATTAAGTCATACTTAAAAGGGAGGAAACAGTATGTTAACATTAAATTTGTAGACAACAAAAATGAATATGATGTTAAATCATCAATTTGATGTTGCTTCATCAAATATTCCTTTTTTAGAAATTTGCCCAGAAAAAAAACAGAAACTGCAGATATAGCAAACAATTTGATTAACCAGCAAACACTATTAACAAAAGTAACATTGCCTCAAAAATACAACTGTTATAAGAAATTAGATGCAATTCTACATTGGAACCTCCAAGGAGTAAATAAAAAAGTTGAAGAACTAGAATTGTTTATTTTAAATTTAAAAGATTGTAATGTTAAAATTATATGTATGAATGAGCACTGTGTAAAAAAAGATAGTAGCTACTTGCTTAACAGAATGTTAAACTTTAGCTTGGCAGATGGTTATTTTAGGGAAAAATCGGAGGGAGGTTCTTGTATATTAGTCCACGACTCTTTGACTTATGTTGTAAGAAATGATTTAAAGATATTTAATGATGAATATGTATTTGAAGGATCATTTATTCAGATTAATTCACTAGCATTAATAATAGTGTCAATTTATAGAATACCTGGCAATAAAGTTACAAAGGAATTTCTAAGGAAGCTTAATAATTTGTTCAAACTACTATCAAAAGAAAAGAAATGTTTTAAAATTTTAATTGCTTCAGATATCAATATAAATTTATTGGTTAGGAATACAAATTCAGACCGATTTCAGAATATTGCTAGTAGATATGGTTATAATATACATTGTTTTGAAGCTACCAGAACAACAGTTAATACTACTTCCTGTATTGACAACTTTATATCAAGTCAGAATTATAATGGCTCTCTACTGTATAATATTAAGCACTGTCTTTCAGATCATAATGCTTTGGTTTTATCATTACCTGAGACTAAACAGTGTACTCCTAGCATTCCTAGAAGATTTTTTATTGATAGTGGTTGTGAGCAATTTTTATTTCTACTTAATAATAGGCTGCAAAACTTTTTTATTTTTGATTCATGTAATAGTAGCTATAACTGGTTCTTAAATGTATTTATTACTACCATGTATGAATGTTTTCCACTTAAAATATCAAGAAAAACCAAGAAAAACTCAAAATCAACTTGGGTGTCTAATGAAATAAAATTATTAGCTGACAAGAAAAAAGAATTGTATCAATTAGCTAAGCAAACAAATAATGTACAATGTAAATTAGACTATAAAAATTGTAAAAAAGATCTTAGAAACGCGATTCATAAAAGTAAACAGGTAGCTAATAATAAATTTATTCTAGACTCAAATAACAAAATGAAAGCTACCTGGACCATAGTCAGAGAGGAAATAGGACAAACTAGAGAAATGCCTACAGAAGAAATTCAATTAGAGATGGACGGCAATCTGATTAAAGATCCACAAAGCGTAGCTACCTGTTTTAATCATCATTATGTCAACACAGTTAATTATCTCAAAATCCCTAAAGTTCCGGTGACAGACACTAATGTAGCTTGTAATACATCTCTTAAAACATTAACTGAATTCAAACCCACAGACACATTAGAAATCATTAAAATAATACGAGGTCTAAACAATTCCCTTGCTGTTGGATGGGATGAAATTCCAATCAAACTCATTAAATTGTCAGAACACATCAAGCTCCAGTTTTAAGCAAAATAGTTAATCAAAGTTTTTTAAATGAAGAATTTCCCGATAAGCTCAAATTTTCAGAAGTGAAACCTATTTTCAAAAAAGGATCAAAAACAAATATACAAAATTATAGGCCTATTTCTCTACTTAGTAATCTTTCTAAAATATTTGAAAAATTGATTCACCATCGCATAACTGATTTTTTAGAAAATAATAATTTACTGTCGCCATCTCAATTTGGCTTTAGAAGAAATCATTCAACAACCTTGGCTCTCACTAAATTTATCAACTCAGTTTCGGAGGCTCTGGATGGATCACAGAGTGTTGCGGGGGTTTTCTGTGATCTGTCCAGGGCTTTTGATTGTGTGGACCATCAACTTTTAATCTACAAACTAAAAAACATTGGTATAAGAGAAAAGGTCTTAGGTCTTCTCTCAAACTACTTACTAAATAGAAAACAGCGCACAGTAGTTTACAAACAAAACAAACGGTTTCCGTCTAGATGGGATAGTGTCCATTATGGTGTACCTCAAGGTTCTATTCTGGGACCATTGCTATTTCTGATTTTCATTAATGACCTTGATTCAAATATAAGTGGTAGTTTATTTTTGTATGCTGATGATACTAATGTCGTGGTAAAAAACAATGATTTTCAGCAATTAGAAAAATCAATTAAAACAACTGTGGATGAACTAAAAAAATGGTTTTTCAAAAATGGTCTTTTAATGAATGACTCTAAAACCCACTTAATGCACTTTAAAATTAGAAATGGTGAGAAAAACAAGTTGGAGAATTTATCTTGTGGAGAGCTAAAATCAGTCAATACCCACAAGGTTCTAGGAATACACTTTGATTATAAACTAAAATGGGAAAATCATATTCAATATCTGTCCAAAAAGTTGAATTCGTTTAGGTTTGCACTCAGTGTAATTAGTAATACAACATCAATGGATGTATGTAAAATGGTATACCACGCCTACATCGAATCAATAATTAGGTATGGAATAGTACTTTGGGGATGTCAGCCCCAAACTAAAATCCTTTTTAACGCTCAAAAATCAATAGTGAGGACTATGGCTCGAGTTAAAAGAAGAAAAAGCTGCAAATCTTTATTTAAAGATATTGGTATCTTAACACTTACAAATCTTTACATAGTTGAAATTGTTAAACTAATGTTTAATGATATTAAAATTTTTGATGACTGTAAATTCAACCATACCTATCCAACACGACATCAGAACAAATTGAAATTTCCTCGGCATAGGCTTTCATTCTATGAAAACTCTCCAAAATACATGGCAGTAAAAGTTTATAATAAATTGTACAGCATTTTACAAAAAAATAATTCCAAAAACTTAGCCCTTACATCTGTACATAAACTTCTCTTACAAAAACCATACTACACTGTAGAAGAGTTTTTTAAGGATACTTTTTAAAATGATACGCTGAATGATAAGGTCTTTTCTAGTTATATGAGATATTTTACTTATGTTAACTTTATTATTTTTAGTTTAGTTTTAGTTTTAGTTTATATTCTGACGACACTCCAATCTTTTGTACCTTGTGCATTATAAGATGTGATGAGTAAATAAAGAATTTGAATTTTGAATTTGAATTTGAATTTGAATTTTAAATCTAAGTTAAGACAGGTTAAATACTCGGTACCTCAAGGATCTGTTTTAGGGCCGTTCTTATTCTTGTGTTATCTGGGAGGTATGCAGGAACTTTTGACAAATAAAATTGATAATATTAGACTATGTCTGTATGCAGATGACATTAGCATGGCAATCCATGACAAAGACAAAACTGAAGCAGAACAAAAAATGAAAGAGGCCATAACAGTAGTAAACACTTTCCTAAATGAAAGAAATCTTTTATTAAATAGAAGTAAAACATCATTGGTGAAATTTTCTTGCACAAACTTAAAAAACAAAGCCAATTTTGATAATTTTGAAGAAAAAACAAAGTTTTTGGGACTTACAGTTGATAATACATTAAACTGGTCCAAACATGTTGATAATGTTTGTTGGAAAATAAGCTCTGGAATTTTCATTATCAATAGACTTCGCCCGTTTTGTAATGAGCAAACACTGAAGACAATTTACTATGCTCATATCCATTCACATTTATCATATGGATTAGAAATTTATGGGGGTACAAGCGACTATAACTTAAAAAGAATATTATGCTTACAGAAGGATGCTATTAGATGCATGCTAAATTTAGAAAGAGAGGCCTCTTGTAAAAACTATTTTAAAGATTTAGGGTTTCTAACAGTTTATAGTTTATACATTTACAAAACAATACTTTATGTGAAAAAAATGAATCAAAATTACAGCGACAACAGGACATTCATGAGCATGACACAAGGAACAAACAAAATTTTACAGTTAAAAAGCATAAAAAAGAAAAATTTAAACAAAGACCAGATTATATTGGCATCAAATTTATCAACCACCTCCCAGATAGCATTAGGAGAGAGCTGAGTATGAATATGTTTATAAGAAAGTTGAAAACATTTCTAATAATTAATTCTATTTATAGTAAAGAGGAATTTTTTAAACTATGAGTAGACTATTTATTTTAATTTTTTAACATTATGTGTGTATAACAATGTAACAATGACGCATTCATGTGCAGTTATGTACGTTCTGAATAAAGATTTGATTGATTGAACGGTTAAAAATGGTTGTAAAATTTAATCATTTGCATGCCAATTGAAAGATAAGATTCCAAACTGTCATTTTATTGCATAATGAAATTCATATCATAAAAGGATCATGTAATTTAGTTCACATGTGATCAAAAATTTTGAGTAAACGTACGCATAACAAAACTGCCAAACATGATATTAAAAAAAATCACAGCAAGGAATATTTTAATTTTACTAAGGAACGGATGGTACCACTGTTACAGGGAAGAAAATTCCTTTTAGCGAATTTTCCTATAGGGAACTAGCTATTACCATAGGTGGCACAGGTATTACTTAGACCTGGGAACGATTTACATTTTCATTTTGATGTCCCCAGAGGCCTAAAAAATAAATTTATATATATACTTTGATGAAATTTGGTTTGAAGGTGCAAGGCGGGATAAACTTGAATGACCAGCATGATCGGACCATGGGAACGGGGTTTTATGGGGTAAAAATTGGTTTTTCTAATTTTTAACCTTCAAAACATAAAATTTCCCAATTTTTCTCTAAACTTTCTTAAAGAGCTTAAAAAACAAACAATTCAGTATATCAAAGTGTTTTTGTTGGTTACGGAGAAAACTATAAAAATTGTAAATTTAAAATTCCAATGTTATTTTTGTGGAGAATATTGTAAAATGTTGTAGTTTGTTTGTTTATGGATATATTTCAAACTTGGAAAATATATTGATTTTATACTAAGCTATAATAATTTTTACTTAAAACACACTTTATTAGTTTCCTTGTAGCAGCAAACCTAGGTACTCGTTAAATCTAATCTATATAAATAAAATTAGAGTTTTGTCTGTACATTGCTTAGAATAATGAACTTTTTGGTTAATTTTACATTTCATAGGTCAGAGAAACCGAATCAAACCTTATCTCAATTTCTGTCTGTCTGTCTGTCTGTCTGTCTGTCTGTCTATCTGTCATTCTCTTGGTAACGCTAAAATACGCACTTTATTACAACTACTCCTCAATAACTATAGCACTGTCCCGCCTGAAACTTATTTTCCAAATACTATACATATATGAGATGGTTTTAGACGTATTTCATCGAATATGAGACAGTTAGATATTTAACAGTAAACCCTTGAAAATCAAGTTTTTGTCGATTTTTGACGTGGAATTTCTGGAAGCCCATGTTAACCTTATGAGAAATGAAATTATTGAATCTTAACAGCTGTTTCAATTAAACAAGTTGGTTCTGTTCTGTGATGTTCAATAGCATTAAAGTTACAAGGATTACCAACAGGGTGCAGCACTAGCACTATTATTTCTTTTACATTTATGACAACAGCTAATTTGCAACCTGGAGGCGAGTGAGCGTAGCGAACGAGCTAACCTGAAGGCAAGTGAGCGTAGCGAACGAGCTAACCTGAAGGAAAGTGAGCGCAGCGAACGAGCTCCAACATACAGGTGAGTGAGCGTAGCGAACGAACTTCAACCAGGACGTGATTGAGCCATGCAAACGAGATCAGATAGTAAAAATAAAAGTAAGCCTACCGTTATAGGATCGACCGGCAGACACAGAGGTAATTTAACCTTTTATTGATTGTCATACCGATCCGGAACAACAAAAAACAACATAAAATGAAGCTATGTATAATAGTTTGGCCAGCATATCTTAAAATATGCAAACCAACTGCTGTTCGTTATATAAGAAGGTTTCAACTGAATATTATAAGATCCCCGTGCGTAGAACGGGTACACAGCTAGTGTTATCTAAACAGATCAATTGAAAATCAATTCAGCCAAATGGAAATTCGCTTAGACGGCAGGTTTGCTGCGGCGGGGCTATTTTATTGTGTAAGTTTTGATAACCTTACACATGACTCTCTAAAACAAAACAAACAATTCAGCCACATGTTTTTGAAGTAGCAGAGTGACTATGATAGTCACAGTCGTAAGACATATGTTATTATTGTTTTTCTCCAAAAACCTTCTTTTTTGTTTTAAATGGTATAAAAAGTGTAGTTTATGTGGTTATTAATGGTAAAATTTGTTTCTTCGTAAAATCTATCACTTCAAACCCCGTTTAATGCAGTTGAATTCACTGTTTCCCTTTTATTTTTATTTTTAACATAACTACCTCAAAAGTAATTGTATTTTGAATGATTTTATGTTTATATGTAGGAAGACCTCAACGCCTCCCCACATTGTGGGGGTGTTATTTACGCCGCTGCTGAGTAGTAACTGTCTACCCCGCTACAAAAAAATTTTGAGTTGGGAGTTTGAATTCTGTCTCACTCGTCAGTTCTAGTGTACAACTCATGGAGTTAATCTTTTTGCGCAAAAACTTTGTGACGAGGCTGACCTAAAACACTATTGAAGGCTTAGGCAGGATCTTCTGTCTTTTTTAATTATTTTTGTTCTATGAAATTATGAGATAAAGACTCAAAGACTGTAATGTGAAAATTCTGACCAACTGGCAACTACTACATTACTACTGTTATTTATTGACTAATTCACTGATTACCTTACTACTGTTGTTTTTTTGCAGGAGCGTTTCTAGACATGAGTTGTTCCCCATCAGAGCTCCTCTGATGTCACTGGAGCACTGCATCGCTCCGTTCCTCGACCTATGTGACGTTGATGACAACCACCGCATCACGCTCACTGAATGGGCAAAGTGTCTGGAGCTGGAGGAGGTAGGCATCAGAAGCACTTCAATGTGGTTCATATCCCTCATTTGATATTCCATTTCTAATGGAAAGGGTGTGGCCGAACGGATTAAGTGTTTCACTCACGTAATACTCTGGCTGAGGATGGGAAAGACAGACTATAATTGTCTCGTTGCTATCAACCACTCATGCAGTTTGAGTTGCCATCATGGTTTGGAGCTGAAAGCATCGAAGTTATGCTGTGAATGCATATTTCCAAAACCACAAGTCGGTGATTACGATGCTAAGAGCTATTTACCAGTGGGTTTGTATTCCAAGTTACGACACTCTTCCTTCTGTGAACACAATACAAATTGTGAGTGGAAAAGTTGGATGAAAGTGGTTACACTCTAAAAAAAACTGACAAACACGGAAGACTAAGATTATTGAGAACATCAGAAAATGTCAAGTTGGTCCAAGCAGTGGGCCAAATGCTTGTAGAAATTACTCCTGAGGCATCTGGGGACACAAGTTAGTAAGATTATTATTATTGGACCATTATAATATGGTATGGGTGCTTAGACAAATACAATTAGGAATTCTTCAAAAAATTTGAACTGAGATACCAATAGCATATCTCCTAGTGAGCAAGTCTTTGTAATTGCTCATCTGCTACTTAGACCAACTTAACATTTTCTGTTGTTTTCACTAATAAGCCTATTTGTCATCCATGTTTCTCACTTTTTAAAGTGCTACTACTTTCAATCTTCTTAACACACAATTGGATTCTGTTCACCCAAAAGACAGCAATGCGTGTAGTAAAAACCCGCTAGCAAGAAGTTCTTTGCCTTATACAATCACTGACTTGCTGTTTTGGAAATACGCACACACACTAAAAACCGTGATCTTGTCCGGTATAAACCATGATGGTGACTGAAATGGTATGAGTAGATCTATCTTTCATACCATTTCAGTCACCATTATTTATTCAGATGAAATTATTAATCAATTATCCATGTACATGGTTCTCTTCCTAATACAGTACAGGGTGGGGAAGAACGGATTAATCAGTTGGATATGCGCAGTAGTCCTACTCAGCCTGTGGATGGGGAAGGCGGAAACTAGACCATTAGTGTCCGCCTTTCCCATCCACAGCCAGTGTACTACGCAAATAAAACTGATTAATCAAATAAATCTGTAACCTTCATGTGAATATATCCTACTAAAAAAAAAACAAAAAAAAAACGCTTAGTTACATAGTTCATGGATATATTATAGTTACAATGGCTCAGACTAAGATAAATAACATACGTGCAGGAATAGTTAAACAATTAATTGTTTGAAATTTAATAAGTGTAACAAAATTTCCAAACATTATGTTAAATCACTGTTTTATTTACAGGAAGATCTTGAAGACCGCTGTGAGGTAGTCCGAGGTGAAGAAGAAGAAGAGTAGAACACATGACTGTATCCCATCACTGAACCATTACATTTAAGTTATTTAGTGTAAAATAATGATTCCTTGTAATATAAATTAACAAGTCTTTGTTTTTAAGCTAGTAAAGGTGCTACTAGGTAGTACTTTTAACACTGCCATTTATTATCGAACCTATATGTTAAGATTTGTGTGAAAACATTTTAACGAATAATGACCAAGGTAATTATGATTGTAAAGTCTTTATCAACAAAATTTTCTCTTAGCCTACCATATTAGTTTTTAGTTAATTGTTTTTAATAAACTTAAATACGTTTAACTAAAAGTATATAAAATGTATTATTTTTGCCTTTTTGTTCTATTTCAAAGACTATCACTTTTACACCCGCTAAAGTTACTGAGTTTAATGTTTTTCACAAATAAAAAAATTGAAAAATACAAATATTTTATTTTCTTAGCCTTATCTAGTAGGTATCCATTTTGTTCATTATCCTTTAGGAATGTTGCTTTCTCTTATATTTAATAAAGAACTATGTGTTACATTATTTATTCACAAACAATTTCAAAGGGGTAAAACTTTTGCTAAGACATCCTAAATAAATTTATAGACATTATTCAATGAACTAGAACTATTTGCCTATCAAAATTTTTATTTTACACCAATATGCACCAAGTGCAGGGACAGGTCTATGAAATGAACTTGTCTTACAAGATCTGGACAGTCTACAAATAAAAAAATGTATAAATTTCAAGTTTAATTTTGAAGAGATATTCAACACTTGGAACTGATTGTAAATGTTGGTAGATATTTTTGATAATCCCCTCAACTCCATCTCAACTTACAAGCGACATAAGAGTATTTAACTGAGATCCGAAGTGTTTTACATTATGCAACCAACACTAGTCCAAAACCAGCGAAATATATTCATACAGTTCCAAAATAAATACATAAACTTGTACAGTATTTAAATTTTGCTAAGAAACGTTGGCTGATTTCAACTTTTTTAAAAACCTTTTATGTAAAGTGATTTAGTAACCAACCACTAGTGTACATGTTGCTCGAATTCGAGCAATTGAAAAGTATTACAGGAGTTATTTCAAAACAAATAACAAGTCATATTTACAATGAGTTTAAAAGAGTCAACTCAAAGATTACCGGTGTGTAACTCAGACCATGTTCATCTTTGTCATTGATTAATCTAAAGCATTAAGGTCGGTTTTCTCCTTCTCAAAATGCCTCGCTGTACAGGCAACAAAGGTCATTGATAGAGGGCCAATTTAGAACGAAAAGTCGTTTTGGGGTAGTGTTAGGGCGCATTTGTAACCTAATAGCATAGAATAAATAAACACCATCATTACTTCATCAATGCTAATAGTTGAGGTTGTCCAGGTTCAGTTGCTGACTGTGTGAGTTAAGCCTATTACTCGCCACTGTTCTGTAGCTGCGGTCGTTATCACGATTACGCCTCCGGTCTATGTTTCGTTGTCATCGCGTCATAGGCAATTAAAAGAAAAAAACAACAAATAAACAAATTGTAGTTAACACATTGCGTGCGTGTTACCGCCCGGGCGGTAGTGTGCACCCGCCAAACTTATTCGGTTTGAGTGCAGCCGCACTCCGGTGTAGGTAGGAGTATTTTTGTCCGTGCTTCGTGTATGACAGTGGCAGTTTTGTGGTGCAATCCGTTTGTAATTATCGTTACTCGTTCCGAAACTATACCTGGACGATTTTGACTCACTCATTACGTTTGTTAACTGTAATTTTGTGCTATATTAGTGTGTTTTATTGTAAAATAATGGCATCTACTGTGGGTGTTTAGCAATCTACGTCGACTCTTGTCATGAAACAGGACATCACCACACGTTATTTGATATTCGTCATACCGAAATATGAAAGCCAATCACCCGGCAATCGGGTTTGTTCGACGCTGCGGGCTGCACCGCACTGGGGCTACGCCTGCCATTTGATGGGCCGCAGCAAACGTGTTAAACAAAACAACGATAAATATCACAGATTTAAGTAACAATCATGCTAACACGATCCGTCTTGGGGGTTATGTTTACACAAAAAATGTACTCAATGTGTTTCATTGAATTGAAAAATAAATAACAGCAATAAAATTATACAGCTGATAAAAATGTAAACAATTATGTTCTTCATAAGGATAACATGGGAACTTTCAAAGCCACTGGGGCAGAGCCCAAGGGACTTTTCAAAAATGTAAGACCAGTTTGCAAATCTACGTGACACGCTCTTTCCAATGAGACGTCAATGGATAAAATCGGTTAAGAAATGGTGGAGGTGTTCAACCGACAAAGTTTCATGTAGCGTATTAATTATATAGATAGGTGTGTGTACGAATTTCTGAAGAGAATTATTCATGTATGATAGTAGTGAACAAAAAGAAGAAAAAACTTGGTATAATTAACTTGCTAACTTAGTCAGAATCAATTTATTGTGTATAATCTTTTTGTTGCATTATTAAGGAAAAATAATTCTCCAAAAACTTAATGTTCAGGCCTTTGACATGTGATAAATGCCAGCTTTTAACCACGTGTTTGTCCAAAATGTTACAGTCAAAATTCACCTATCAAAAATGGGTGTAGTTAGTTTTTTTTTTTAAATCAAATCGACAACAACCAAAGCAAGTTAAGATGTTTATGTGGTGTGTAAATATTTCTTCTTCATCTTGCAGCAAAACATGACTGCCGCACGAATGTAGGCTGTTATGTTACATGGTGATTTACATTAAAGCAGTCAAGGATGGTTGTATCAAAACAATTGAATAACTGAATCAATTGTAAAATAATCTATAATATGACAGTAGTTGATTGTGGTGGCACTATTCCTTTAATCTGTCAAATGCCAATACAAACACATTATGAATGGAACAAAACATTGAAACACCCGGGACAACTTGAACATAATTTTATTTACAACAAATACGTTATGTACAATCTTCAGACTACAAAATGTTTAGTGTACAAAAATATCTGCACATGACTAATATCAATATTTATAACAGACTATATCACAACAATTCAGATTATTACTAAATATCAATATAAAACACTACTTATTGAAATTTTTACATACAAAATGTGTCACAAGTTTTTTTACAAACTTCTAGAAAAGTTAAGCTTGTTACAAAAATAACATTATCTCCTTTAATATTATCTGATTTTAAGATGTAGATTTTGTAAAAAACATTACATGGATTTAACATTTAACATATTTAAACTTATATTGGAGGCTATGGTTAATAAATACCAACTACAATTTCCATACTTAAAAGACAAACAAATTATTTTATCTGAGAAAAGGTTGTACAAGCCAATACATGTAGAAAATTGCAGCAAAAATGAGTGTCTTGATCAATCGGCATTTCTTACTAAATAATGTCTAAGATAAGGAAACAATCATAACACTTCTAAATATTTCTTCAATTTCACATAATTCAATTATGAAAAAAATGTGATTTATAAACCTAAAAATCTAAAATACACAAAGTAAATCAGTGTGAGTCAGCACCATAATGAAGGAGAAAAAGTTGAAGAAAGAACAGTGTTAAGGGATTGTTATCATCACCAGTAAACTTAGAAAGCAAAATCAGGGTGGATCAAGAATTTCGCCAAAAATCTTAATGCAAATAAGATAAAATAGGCAAGTGTTAATACTGTATAAGAAAATTGATATTTTATAATTTAATTTATTTAAATGACACAATTTGTAGCAAAACACAAACCGTATGATACCGAGTACATTTTTTTCAGCAATAGAATTATTTATTAGATGCAAAAAGAAGATGTATGCTTTTTATTTACTCTGTTTAAGTTTGAGTTAAACAAAGTTATTCAAGTGGTTGTTTCTAAAACATTAAGAGTATTTTCTAAACCTCTTTGTCAATTGAATGAATTAGAGTTACTTAGTCATAATCAATATTTTAATATTTCTTTTATCCCACACTCTAATACCTGTACGTGTTCTGTGACGTTATTATGGTGAAGAAACTACAAAAGGAGGAGAACAGTAAACTCTAAAACAAGTGAAATATACAAGAACTCACCGCAATTCATAAGTCACTTAATAAGGTGTAGAGATATATCAACTGTTTGTGCAAAAAATCAAAGCATGTATGGCAAATATAGAGTGCCAACTAGAATGTCTAATAACTAATCAGAAACTAACCTTAACACTAAAGTAAATAGCATTTTCTAAATTAATATTAGAAAACCACTCATTACATAACAGTTGTTATGATTTGAAAGTGCACCTTTAAAATGCTAGTCAATAGTAAAAATATCCCTAGTAACTCTTAATTACTCTCAATAATGAAGTTACGTTGTGTTCATGGTGGCAAACTTCACTAACATAATCAGTCTGATATGTAGGAATGGCAGTATTACGACTAATAATACTACACAGTGGCAATTTCGATTCAATTAAGAAACCCAGTTTGAAATATTATAAAAGAAGTTAACATATTTTAGGCTATAAAACATCAGTATTGATTATAATGAATTACAGCTGAACTTGGCGAGAAAGAAATTCAGATAAAGTGAATGTGTAACGTAAAAAATATAGTTCAAATGCCCGTTTGTTCTTGTACTAATCGACTAACTGTGTTGTTATGAAACTGAATCGTAAGGACTAAAATAATCGTAAGGTCTAATGTATATTTAAATTAACTCTCCTCACAATTAACATAACTTGTATAACTTACAGCAAGTTTTGTTTAATTAAAAAACTATTTACAATCACAGCGCTATCATTCATGGTTTTTTTTTCTCCTCTAAATACTCACATAACAGAAACATGGTTTGCAAAAATTACGAAGGCTTAATTGTTTACCCGAATTAACAAACTATCAAACCATAGAACTATTTATAAGCTAGGTGTATATAGTGATATAGGTGGACTTGTAAGTATACTGGACTGGCCTCTTGTTGTGGCTGGTGACTGATGTGGTGTGTTTAGCCTTCACATATAGCAGTGAGTGCCGCCATCAGTACGATACCACTGACCAGGCTGGCAAACTGCTTCAGTGACTCTTTCGGGTTGTCCTCTTGCAGCAACTCCGGCAACACTGTCACCAGAGAGATGTGTAGGAAGCCACCCGCAGTGAATGGCAGGATCCATGACGTTTTGGCTTCTGTATGAATGTAAAAAAAAATTAGTCATCTGATTAGAAAACTGATAATTAACTAAAGAAAGGATTGATATATAAGATGCTTTGATAACGTACCAATATATAACAGACATGCTGTTAACCCATTGATGCTGTAATTTGGTTAATTCTCTATTAAGCATCTTTTTTAGGTAATGTACTCAACGCTATACTCCTCAGAGCTACCATGCCACCATTGGCCGATTGTGTCAATTTCCACTATAAGCATACGACGACAGTAGGTTATATTAGACGTTACTTGAGGGCCAGTGCTTTAGCAAACAGTGTTCTTACATTCAGTAAGCTTCCAGCTGTGCATATATAAGTCTTAAACGGATGATTTTGAAAAAACAGAGACATAATGCAGTACTGAAATTCTTAGAAGACTACGACAAAAGTGGAGCTCACTTTTTGAATCATAAGTCAATGCACCGTGATATTACTCGACCATCATGCATTACTCCATTATTGCTATAATCATTAAAAATCTAGTGATGATTAAAAAAAATGGCCTTTGTGCATTTATTGAAATAAAGTTAGATCCAGTTTCCAACCATCAAAGAGCTACTGACTTTTTTAAGATTGATCGGCAGCATACTGCTTAGTAATCAAGCACTTCCACTCAGCTACAATTTAAGACGTACCCATGCTGGTGCCAGCGCCACTGAACATGACAGCAGTGAGGGCCCCGACAGTGCCAGCCATTCCTGTCAGCAGTTGAGCCTTGGCTGCGTCCCATCTACTGAACCCAGCTCTCAGCAGAATGGCAAAGTCTCCGATCTCATGAGGAACCTACACAATACACCAATCAAAACACTATCCATTTCCTGATAGCACAAAAAATACGTCAAATAACACTTACTAGAGGTTGTCCAGTGGTTAAAAACTCGACCAAAAAATATGTAATATTTACAGACATCTCTATTTTCGCCCCACGCTGTAAATAAAACATGTGATTGTAATTTCTTTTCCATTTGTTTTCAAAATACACAGTTATTTTTATAGGGATTGGGCCGTGAATGTGGGAGACGATGAAGTTGTTATCTGATGATGACTACGGGAAGTATTCACGATCATGGAAGACAATGATGACGCCTCGGGGAGATACCGTGCCAAGCTTAAGTGCAAGTTTAGGCGGAAATACATGTGAAAATGTTTTTTAAAGATTATTGGGAGCGGGAAAGCCTGGCGAACAAACTTGCGGGGCGGGGGGGGGCTTTTATCGCCGCCACTGGAATTTCGTCTACATATCTAACATAAAGCTTTACATCATGACTGAGTTTAAGGTTTTCTAATATTTCTTTTTTGTGATGTAAAAATACTTCTGACAAATTTCCCGAAAGTGGGCTTCCCATTGCCAAACCATCTGTTTGTTCATAGAAGTTTTTGTTGAATCTAAAATCATTTTGTTTCAAAAAAGCTGTGAGCAGGTATACAATCTGAATTACATATTCATTTGTTAATCCATTATGTATAAGCCTACATTTGACAAGATCCACAGTTTCAGCTACAGGTATGTTGGTGTACAGATTGAAATATGAAATGAGACTAACCTACTGTTTGATTCTATATCTATGTTCTTAACACATTCAACAAATTCAAATCTGTTCTCTACATTATACATGTATTCTAATTCTAGATCATTGCTGAGTTTACTTGCTAACATTTTCGAAACATTGGAGGTAGGAGCACATTAACTAAGGGTCTCATTGGTACATTCTTCTTGTGTATTTTCAGGATCCCTTTTATCACGGGTGCTTTGGAATTTAGGATGTTCATCCTCTGTCGACATTCTTCGGGAATCACTCTGGTGCATCTCTTCACCACATAGGACAGCTCTTTTTGGTACCTCTGCGTCGGATCCTTAGATAAGTTCTTTGAAGATATTTTCTTTGATAATTTCTTCAGTCTTCTTTATATATTCTTCTTTTCCGAAGATTATGATGGCATTAATTTTATCTGTTTTCACTGCAATTTAACTGTTCTCTTCAAGTTTCTTTTTTATTTTGTTGCATGTCTCCAGTTCTTTATTTTTACTGGGATCTATGGGTCCTAGGCTAGTGAAAGCGTTGGATGTCACTTCCTTCCGAACGGTATAATGGTCGGCATCTTTGATCATACGTTTGCCTCAACTTCAGTAGCTAGTAGTTCGTTTTCGTTCTTCTTCTTAATTGTGAAGTTGTGTTTCATTCCGTAATTTAAAATCTTGGTTCCTTCTTCTCAGCGAAGAATGTCTGAATGATTGAATGTCTATAATTGACTCTCTGCTGGAAATTGTGTCCTGCACTCGTCTTATTCAAGTCTTCGTTGTCTCTATTCTTCTCTGATAGTTTATTAAATTTGTTGTTTATCCGGGAATACTTTTGCTACATTGCACCTTCAATTTCTTCACAGATGACTTCATGCAGAAGGCTCCATACGCGCAGTCCGTACAGTCGTAAGAATTGCAGATGGATGTCGTAGGCGATTACGTTCAGCTCGTCTTTTTCACAGTTAAGTTACTTGAACATGTTCTGGATGAACAACACCTATGCATGTTTCTTGTTTCTTTTGGCGGTGGTGGAGTTTAAGTGTGAATATATCATTATAAGTGTTATTGGACTATGGTTTGTGCTTTCAGGTAATTTAACACGTATGATGCTGATCAAGAAGTTATTTACTAACCATTTGTAATGTAATTGAAAATTAAACAACTGATAATTTCAAGTATACCCAACCATTTTTAAACTATTTACAGTGTTACTGAAAAGTTAAGAGAACGCATCAGCCCCCAAACTGCAAAATAACATTGGTGATTAATTGAAAAAGATGTCAACAAAAAAACACCTCTGAGACAGAGACTATTGATGGACATAAAAAATATTCAGTCCCAGGCCACAAGTGACAGTAAAGCGTTTGAGGGCTCTCAATGAAGAAAAAGAAAATGTCTGTAACGTTCACTAACATGGGGGGCATCGGTCATTGAGTTGGTCAATGGTGTAAAGGTGTTGAGAAAAATATTCATGAAATATTAAATGAAAATCTTTGTCCTTTGTTTCTTAAAAATAAATCTAACTAACTATTCAAGTAAGACTTGAATGAGTACTCAATTTTGAGCTATAGACATTCAACACTTATTAGGTGCTGACTAATGGTAAATAGCACAATGTTAATACTACATCTTCAATTCATGGATGAACTGTAAGTGCATCTACAACACATTCCCTTTTCAAGAACAGGCAAGATAACTTACTTCATGAACTAAAATGGCAAAGGTGGTGAGAGCTCCAACTCTAGGAGACAAGAGAAAACTGCCACCAACAGCCAAACCGTGGGTGAAGTTGTCAATGCCGTTGGCTATCAGGTTTAGGTACCCGGCCACCTGCACATAAACATAACACTCACAAGAAAGAGAACTTGTACACATTTTGGTTCACGGTAGAACTCCAATTATCCGAACTCCAACTTCTGAATCTCAAATTGCCGATCATCCGAATCTCGATGTACATTGTACAGCAAAAAAGATGTTGTGAGTTAATAAAGAATTTGAATTTTGACTATCCAAATGGGGTCCAGCCGCAATTGATTCTAGTAGTTCTACTGTAAACTCCAACTATCCAAACTCCAACTATACATATCCCAATTATTCTAATCTCTTTTGAATAGAAATTTTAAACTCTAAAACTGCAGTTATACACAAAGTTATTAAAAGAAGGCAGAAGCTGTGGTCGTAGAAAAATCCTGAACATCTCCCACAGTTAGGTAGATATCATCATCATCTCCCGCAGTTGTGAAGGCATCTTCATCGTCTTTAGTAATTGCAGTAAGATCTTAAATACCTCTTAGGTCATATGGATATCATGATCGTCTCTCGCACTCATGAAAACATCATAATCGTATAACGCGATCACGGTAAAATCTTAATCATCTTTCGAAGCTCCGCAGCCTTAAAATAAATATATTATCCGAGAAATAATCAAATTTATGATTTTTGATTTAGTAATACAGTATCTTGAGTTTAACTGATTCAAAAGATCAATAGCTCAAATGCCTATAATTTACTGATTATTTTGAGTCTAAAACATATAAAAAAAAAACACGAAAAAAAGTGGAGCTATTGATTTTTAATCATAGAAAAAACCTTATGAAAAATACTTTTTATGTTGGTCGTTTACCTTGCGTTTGCTTGAAACTCGTCCGATTTGAATAACTAATATCTGAAATATAGCTGGTATTACACTGAAGGTTCTTAGACCAAAATATATAGGATTAGATAATTATAACTGGTGAAATACATCTTAGATTGAAGTAAGAATAAAAATAAAAAAATGAATCAAATTAGTTTTTTGGCCGAGTAATACAGTAGGTAAATATATGCCGATGCTTAATGTGAAATCTGTGCATGCATACCTTCAATTTAGACCTTAATCATAAAGATCAGTCGGGTAGAAGAGCTAAACGAACTCGGATAAGAAAAACCAAATTTAACTCCCATAAGAAATACAAGGGGAGCAAATTTCATTTACATATAAGCCAAGTGGGATTATAGATAAATATATGCAGATTTGATGGCAAATCTGTGTGTTCATACCTTCAGTTTGAGACCTCAATCATGAAAATCGGCCGGGTAGAAGAGTCGAACGAACTCGGAAAAAAGAAACCAAACTTAACTCCCATAAGAAAAAGAAATACATGGGGAGCAAATTTCATTTACGTATAAGCCGAGTGGGATTGGGATTATAGATAAATATATGCCGATGCTTGATGGCAAATATGTGCGTGCGTACCTTCAATTTGAAACCTCAATCATGAAAATTGGTCGGGTAGCAGAGCCGAACGAACTTGGAAAAGAAAAAACAAATTTTTTAAATATAAAAGATAAAGGCTCTGTGGAGTTATACAGGGTGTCCCGGAACTCTCTACCAATATTTTAGGGCATTGCTCCTGGGTAAGAAACATACCTAAATATCATATTTAAATTGTCCGGAAGTCCTTAGTTACTCACACAGCCGCCATTTTGTTTTTTCCAGTTAGTAATTTTTTTCTAAAGAATGGTTAAACATACGAAATGGAAACTTTGCACAAACATTAATGACAACTAGACAAAGCTACAAAAAAATTATGAAGATTTTTCAAATTCATAAAACAAAATGGCGACCATTTAAAATGTTGTTTCTTAAATAGCTCAAAAACCGTTGATTTTAAAAAAATTTTAAATGGCCGCCATTTTGTTTTATGAATTTGAAAAATCGTCATAATTTTTTTGTAGCTTTGTCTAGTTGTCATTAATGTTTGTGCAAAGTTTCCATTTCGTATGTTTAACCATTCTTTAGAAAAAAATTAATAACTGAAAAAAACAAAATGGCGGCTGTGTGAGTAACTAAGGACTTCCGGACAATTTAAATATGATATTTAGGTATGTTTCTTACCCAGGAGCAATGCCCTAAAATATTGGTAGAGAGTTCCGGGACACCCTGTAGTTCTGCTGAATCATCTTTAATCCACAAATTACACTTTGTATAGAAAATATAACAAGATAAATTGCACACAAAAAATAGTATCTAGTTTGGGTAGGACAACTGGTTTCCAATAATGGCATATCTATCTCAAATAAACCTGCAATTTTGGCAAATGATTCATTCGCAGTTTTATCTTAGTTTTTCTCACAAAGGAAATGATAGAGCACAAACTAGATAAAGAACTTCCTTCCTGATATGACATTTAAATTCACATTTGCACTACAGCTGATAATACAATAAATAAGTTTATTATTTATTTACTACCATGATAGAGTTAAACCTTGTATTGATGGTCAAAGGTTAAACCAAGAACCATAATACAGGAAAACATTTTTAATTTTCAACCACCAACATTATGAAATCTGTAGTATATTTTTCTGATAAAGATACTAGTTTTAAAAATAGTCAATAAATTCTTAAATCATAAACAGGCTACACTACAAACACTCTCAAACCTATCCTTTAACCCCTTCTCTTTATTTAGTTGAAGCTCATAAATTCTTAGGGGTTTATGTACATAACACAGTTAAATGGGATTCACAATTGAATTGGAACTTCCACGACTCTGCAATGGTACCCAACTTATTGTTACTTCGTTGAAACAAAACATTATTGAAGCCCAGATTCTCACCGGATGTGCAAAAGGCAATACAAGTTTCATACCAAGAATTCCAATCATTCCAACAGACTTAACGTTTACATTTAAATGGCTTCAATTTCCACTGAAGATTGCCTTTGCCATGACAATAACTAAAGCACAAGGCCAAACTCTTCAAGTAGCTGGCTTACATCTAGAAAATCAATGTTTTTCTAATGGCCAACTGTATGTGGCATGCTCACGTGTATCGTGCAGCAGAGATTTGTACATATACACACCAGACAACAAAGCTGCAAACATTGTTTATAAAAACGTTTTGTAATCGTTGCAAAGTAATCTTAAGCCCATTGTAATCTGAAACTGTACACATCTAAAAGCTTTCTGAACAAATTACTCTTTCATTTAACTTTTAGCTACCCCAAAATTTGGTACTTTTACTTCCGCACTTAAATTTAGTATCACCCGTAGCGAAGCACGGGTACTTTAGCTAGTTCTCCATAAGAATAACATGGGAATTTTAAATTTACAATATTTTTTTAATGTTTTCCGTTACCAATAACCGTCCAAAAATACTTTGATATACTAAAATATTTGGTTTTTTAAGCTCTTTAAAAAGTTCTAGAGAGAAATTTATCCCATTTTTGATCCAAAAACATAGGATTTGGCAATTTCTTACAAAACAATTTTGTAGATTCAAAGGTTTATTGCGGACATTTTCGATCACGAATGTAAAAAACAATACACAACGTTTCGGGATCTGGAATCTGATCCCGTCCTCAGGTGAAAAAAAACTTAACTAACACATTACAACTAACAATACACAAATGCCCAACCTAAGTTGGAATACACTACAGAGGGTAGTAGTCAAAAAATATTCACTGTATAGCAGTCAAGTCATGATACAACATGCAAATAATAACAAATCACAAAACACTATACCGTAATCTGTAAAAGGTAGTGTGTGTAAAAGGTAGTCTGTAGTGTATTCCAACTTAGGTTGGGCGTTTGTGTATTGTTAGTTGTAAACACAATACACAACACATATAAAAACCAGATATGAGATGGTTGTCATATCTGATTACCATGGATATGAAAATCGGACTAAAATCAACTTATCTAAGCTTTAATTTTATTGTATTCAGGGTGTCTAGTTAATTTCCATTATAAAATTCAAGACTAATTCCAGACTTTTCAAGACTAATTCCAGATTTTTCAAGACTAGTTTTTTCCACAATTGGTGGGTGTTGATACCAAAATGTATCGATTCTCGATTCTTGATACCGATACCGATTTTGATAGCTTAACCGAATTTTCTAAATAATACTAGGCCTACACCAACCCCTGTCTTTGTCATAAAGTAGTATTATGATAATGTGGTGTTTTCAAGTAAAGAAATAATGCAGCAATAAAAAATTCTAACTAGCAAATTTGTTTTTTTTTTTTCATGAAATCTTCCGCGTACCGTACGTTTAGACATCATCATTGACTCCAGCGGTTACAGAAACATGATCGTCGTCGTCCGCGATCACCGCAAAATCATGAACATTTCCCGCGGCCGTGTAGACATCACCGTCCTCTCCCGCGGTCACGGAAACGTCATCGTCATCTCCCGCGGTCACGGAAACGTCATCGTCATCTCCCGCGGTCACGGAAACGTCATCGTCGTCGTCCGCGATGGCGGCAAAATCATGAACATTTCTCGCGGCCGTGTAGACCCGCGGTCACGAAAACGTCATCGTCATCTCCTACGGTCACGGAAACGTTATCGTCGTCGTCCGCGATCACGGCAAAATCATGAACATTTCCCGCGGCCGTGTAGACCCGCGGTCACGAAAACGTCATCGTCATCTCCTACGGTCACGGAAACGTTATCGTCGTCGTCCGCGATCACGGCAAAATCATGAACATTTCCCGCGGCCGTGTAGACCCGCGGTCACGAAAACGTCATCGTCATCTCCCGCGGTCACGGAAACGTTATCGTCGACGTCCGCAATCACGGCAAAATCATGAACATTTCCCGCGGCTGTTTAGACATCAACGTCATCTCCCGCGGTCACGGAAACGTTATCGTCGACGTCCGCAATCACGGCAAAATCATGAACATTTCCCGCGGCCGTGTAGAGATCATCGTCGTCTCCCGCGGTCACGGAAACGTCATCGTCGTCGTCCGCGATCACGACAAAATCATGAACCTTTCCCGCGGCCGAGCAGATATCATCGTCGTCTCCGGCGGTCACGGAAACGTCATCGTCATCCCCCGCGGTCACGGAAACGTCATCGTCATCCCCCGCGGTCACGGAAACGTCATCGTCGTCTCTCGTGGTCACGGAAACGTTAATCGTCGTCTCCCGCTGTCACGGTAACGTTATCGTCGTCCCCAGCGGTCACGGAAAGGTCATCGTCGTCTCCCGTGGTTTCGGAAACGTCATCGTCGTCGTCTACTATCGCGGCAAAATCATGAACATATCCCGCGGCCGTGTAGACATCATCGTCGTCTCCCGTGGTCACGGAAACGTCATCGTCGTCGTCCGGGATCGCGACAAAATCATGAACATTTCCCGCGGCTGTTTAGACATCACTATCATCTCCCGCGGCCACGGAAACTTCATCGTCTTCTTCCGCGGTCACGGAAAGGTAATCGTCGTCTCCCGTGGTTTCGGAAACGGCATCGTCGTCGTCCACTATCGCGGCAAAATCGTGAACATTTCCCGAGGCCGTGAGGACAATCATCATTGGCTTTCGCGGTTACGTAAACGGAAGACGACGATCGCGGCACAAACATAAAAATTCCCGACTTTGAAATCAAATTTAAGACTAAATCCCGACTTTTCAAGACCATTTTGAAATTCAATACTAATTCCCGACTTTCCCGATTTTCCCGACTACTAGACACCCTGTGTATTTTTATGTCTTTCATAGTTTAGTTTGTGTTTTATGTAGACAAATTTCATAAAAACATTATGATAAGCAAATTATTTTAATATCTTTAAACATTTTTTTTACTATAAGACTCTAACCAAATATTCATTAAATTTAATTGCTGACAAGGGCCCTGCGACATGCCGATTAACTTCTTCCCTAATGGGTTAACATGATTAAATATCAAGATAACTAGGTACACAGAAATTGTGAACCACTCAGCAGACCTGCTCATGTGAGGGCCGCTCCTTGGCCTTGGAGGGGCAGATCTTGTCTTCACAGTTGTTGTTGTGTGAACAGTTGTCGTCTGCTGACTCTGGCACTGGCACTGCCGACAGTCCGTCAGCCACCTACAGCAGAGCACAGGACTTAAAAAACTGAATATGAGGTTAAATGGGCCATAGATGATGGTGTCCAGCTACCTCCACACACAAACACCTGACATTAGCCTTGTCCTAACAGAAAATGGATAGGTTTCTTGGTGACAAATAGATACTTGCATTTCTCTGTATTAACATTCCAAAACAGTTAGCATTAAAATGTTTACACATATTTATATTTTAGTTTTAGAGGGGTTCAAAATTAAGAAACACATGTCTAAATTTACATATTCTCAATGAGAGCTGCTTTAGAATATGAGGTATTATAGATGAAAATTAGGGAAACTAAGGTTCTTTATGATTATCTTCCATCATTCTCCCACCCTCCCTTTAAGAGGAAATTTGTTTGCATTTTACAATCACATACAATAGAAAAGGACCAATATGTACAAAAGAGGTATTTATTAAATCATTAAGGCCTAGTTAAAAAATAGTTGAAAATTTAAAAATATCTGCTGTAGTCCCCCCTCTCTGAAACCACACTGTTCTTATTAATGTTAACAATGTGGCACATTAAACTAATTGGGACTAATTAAACAATGTGGCACATTAAACAAAATTAAATAATTGGAGAATTAAATTAAATTATATAAAATATTGGTCCTAATCTTTATATTAGCAAAAATAATAAAAACCTAGCAGTAAAATTTATGAGTTAAAGAAAAAATCATTGATTTGTAGAACAACTTAACATTATCATTATTATTACCAATTGCGATGGGAACACGAGAAAAGCCAGTTGAGGCAAGGGACAAACATACAAACAGTTATTAATGGCTTTAATAGGAAATACCGTGTAGTATTTACTTAAAAAATAGAAAATTGTGTGTTTATTAAAACTCATATAAGAGTGCAAATTTCGATTTAATGCAATTTATTCTGAAAAATCTAATGCAACATTGAGGATTGGTTACACAGTTATTAACACAACAGGTTTCCATTGTCAAGTATCAGGAATCCAACTGTTGGACAATCTACTGCAGCAAGTGTAATGTTCCGAGGTAGGAAGTGTTTGTACATTTATTGATTATGTTGTTTGAAGGATGACAAGTTTCATAACTCACAGGAGAATATATCAAACTGATCTAAACGGTCAGCAGTTTATTTACTTCAACTACTGTTTTGAGTAAAATGTTACCTCCTCGTATGGGTTTGGACCTGAGAATATCTTCTCCACAATGATGAACAGCAACAACCCCACCAGCACCCAGACACCGCAGAACATGGATGGATTACCTGGGAACAGACCTGTATAAGTCAATCTTCTGGCACATACAAAGAGGACTCAACAAAGGGACTCCACACACGATCATTTAAAATGCCTATAGAGACATGAAATAATATAGGCCTAGGGTTGGGGTAGACAAATCCCATCAGCTGGAAAAATCTTTCTTCTGCATTCTCAAAATAAAATTTAAGTTATTCATATTATGTAAAAATAGCTAGCCACCATTTTTAAGGATTCCATTGAGAAACTCCCTGAATATGAGGGGAGTTAATGAATCAACAAGAAATCAATACCAAACCAGGTAATAACATTAACTTAAAATGGTTTTAAGGGAAGTCAAAGGTGAAATTTTTAAATTTTTTAAATTTTTACTTTTTATGCCCTTTTTATAGCACAGAATTTTTTCTTAAAAATGGTATACTTACATTTTTAATTGCTAACCTAGAAATGTATAAAAAAATATATTTTCCATAACATTTCAGTGACGTTTTAAAGGTAAAACTAGTAGATCCTTGGTTGGCCCTTGGAGGCTTTTCTTGCCGATTTCCGCAACTTTACTTTTTAGAACTTTAATGCCATTTTTTTCAGGACTGGTAATACATACAGCTGTGAAATGTTTACCATGTAGTCTTAGTGACTTATTCTAAACATAGACATAAGGATTTCATCATATATTTAGTAGAAGCATGTAAAAAAAATAATACATTTTATTTTTTAAACAAATATTTTTAAAATCTATAAAAACCCATAAAATAGTTATTTTTAATTTTAAATGAAAAATCTTGTGTCTGCAACTAGTTAATTAGTTAATATAAAAGTATACCAAGTTTCACTATCCTACCTGTTCTAACTCCTGAGAAAAGTGACATTTAGTTAACATTACTAAAGATAGGACCTCGGACTCGCATAATGAATTTGTCTGAATGTTGTGGGAAATGAAAATTGCTGACTTTAAGCATAAAAGTGTTAGCACTGAACTTAATGGGGTTCATGCATTATAATGATTGTAAGTTTGAACTAATACAACTTTGAACATAGCTTTCAAAGTATTAAAAAGTATTACAGTATTTAAGTATTTATCATGTAACCATAATTTTACCATATTAGTCCCAGCAAATCATGTCCAGACACCTAGTATCATATCAAATAAAAATGTTATAAAAATGAGTATTTTTATTTATTTGGATTGCCAAAACTACATTTTGATTAGCCTAATAAAATCAGAGGGTTGGGTGTTATAAACACAGGTGTTAGTTCAGTTGAGAACTACTTTTATTATTTCTAAAAATTATTAAAAGGTCTCATCTTTTAGAAATAAATCATTTACACAAAGAAAATGAATTGGCATGAAGGGTACAGAAGGGGTCTACAGTAGATAACGTGGGATAGGCTGGGACAATTGAATGACGGCAGCGGATGAATAACCAAATTGAATGTGTCTCTGCCATCTGAGATCTGAGACCAGGAAACAGTCTCAACTCACCCACTCAATCTTACAATTGCCTGATGTGAATGCAGAATGTACCACAGTCTAGCACTGATTCTCATAATACTAAGTACGAATGTACTGCTGTTTATTTAATAGCTAAAATATGAAACACGGAAGATCCATTTTGGTTGAATCTGACATGTAAAAGATTGACTTATTAATCTTTATGAAATAAAGAGAAAATTTAAACAAAATACTTGGTTGAATTGGTTTAAAAAAATTCTTCTGACGCGAACCTACAGACTGAGTGCATTTCCAGCTTCATTGTTGAATTTTTATACAAGCTGGTTTATATTAACTAAACAGAATAACTTTAAACCTAGATCCACGCTTTGTAGAAATAACAATAAAAATCAGTACCAACTTTGCTGCTATTAGGAAAACAAAACATTGTTATTTTTAATTCATTTTAAAATCCTACAATGAAAAAATAAATTTATCAAATTTTATGATGATGATGATTAATGTAGATGAATAAATGATGAGGAAAATTAAGTTTTATGAAGATGTATGAATTACCAATCAGTCTATAGCATTTAATTTATTCTTCATGAGGATAAAATAGGAAATTGCATACTGCATTCATCACTTTTAACATCTTAGAATATGAATGTAAAAGTTCAAAACATTTAAAGTTAGTCTTATAAGCTGATTCAAATTGTAAGCAAGTTTCTTAGGTTTAGGTTTAACCTTAAAGACTACAATGATAGCTAACCTAAAAAGAACTCAATCAAAGATCAAGTGTTTAATGTCTGGCAAATAATCATTATTAAGTGGGTTGTTTTGTGTTTTATCTTATCTGTCTGATTGTGATTATGTGTAGAGTGGCGAAGTTGTCATATATTGGAGGCATGCATTCTCTGCATACAATCAATTGCATAGAGAATTTCTCGTTAACTTTTGCTCAGTTGAAAAAATTCAAAAATGACAAATATCATTTTTAAGCATCACTGTGGACATTTTCTATTAAGATTAGTAAAAGACAAGTTCAGTCTTGCTTGAGCCACAATCTTGTGTCGACGTATCAACTATTTTCGCCTTTTCCCTGTTTGTACTCATTTTTCGTTCTTTCATCTTTCTTATAGCCTATTGTTATGTTTTCGGTAGGTACTGTACCTGAGGATGAAATCAGATTTCAGATCATGAAATTTTGTTAGAACTTGTTTTATACTAATCATGATGGAAAATATTTGCAACTATTTGTAAAAATGAGCTTCAAACACAAAAAATCACAAATAGATAAGAAAACAAATTTCATTAAGAATAGTGATAACACTACTTTACTTGCCAAAAAGTATTATTGATTGAAATATTTATAAACAATTCAATAGGTAAGAGTTTACTTTAAAAATTTTATTTTCAACCGAAAAAATGTGGTGTAGGCTTACAATACAATGATAAATTAAAGTACAATATAGTTTTGAGAGCATATGTAAAAAAGATGGAATTGATTAACTAAAATACATTATAATGAATAATTAAGAAACTAATTAGCCAAAAAGATGATGTACTGTAGATAGAGATCCAGACTGACCATGGGTGTATTGCTCTTGTAAGGTCCAAGCCTCTGGTAGCAGATGTAGGAACACATCTCCCAGCAGGCCTCCCACAGCAAAGCTGAGCAGAACTTTGAGAGAGGCCCCCTGAGCTGAAACACCAACAGTATTACATGAAACAGCTACTCTAGTGGACTACGCATTAACCTACTTCAATCTTAGATTGCTATAAACAAAGAGCTGTTACTGTTAAAAAAAATAAAAGCAACAGACATACTCTCTTCCAGGGCAATAAGAAATTAAAATAATTGAAATATGTGTTCTAAACATCAATCTGAATAGTCTGAATATCGAAACCGGATATATTATATTGTAGTAGAATAAGAACATCACACTGATATAAACACGAAAGATGTTAATAATAATGTCATATTTATTAATAAGAAGCATTTTATTCAGCAAAATTGGAAGGCAAAGTCTAAAAGTGAAACACCCCCTCCGCAGCAAACATGCACAATAATTGAATTTCCATTTGCCTGATTGGATTTTTACTAAAATACTTACAACTCTTCTGGCAACTTTCCGTAAAGATGCCCAATTTAATCCCTTTTTAAAAAACATTAAGTTTAAGGAGTACTTAGGTTTGTATGGCTCAAAATACGGTAACTAGTTTGTGCGACCGTGTTGATCTCAGAGCATATTTGATGTTTTAAACATATATCTTAGTCACTACCAAATTTTCAACAACTTCAGAGTTACCATGATTGAGTTTTCTTTCTATTTGATTATCTTGTTTGAATTCTTCTCCATAGTTTTATAATTTACTTTTAGATACTGGAGTATAAATTCCATTTATATGGACCAGATGTTGCCAATTTCTGACAAAAAATAACATAGTTGAGTGAGACAGTCACAGAATGCGCTAATGTCTAACATTCTTTTTTCTACTGACATAGCCATAACAGTTGCTATGGCTCACAATAAGCCGTTCCATCAGTTTGACTAATTGTATTTAGCTAAAAAAACACACTTGCCAAAATATGTAACACTACAATGGTGTTTTTACACTGTTAAATATCTATCGATAGGCCTAGTGTGAGTGTAAATAACTCTGTCTCATTGAAACATTGAGATGGAAAGTTGTTAAATGAACAATTAATAGCTATGTATGTAAACATCACATTCTTGAATACACACAGCTACTTTGACACTTGAGTAAACATTGTAGTGTTTGACTATGATAACCATTTACTTCGATGAGAGTTGGAAACATTACCAGGAAATATACAACAGACATGAAGAAGTTTGATAAAATACCCCTATCGCAGCAATATACCGATACCCGTCATGCCTGCGCAATACGGAAAATTACCGCTATTGGTGGGAACGTGCAAGACGACGACATTTCCGTGACCACGGGAGACGATGATGATGTCACACGGCCGCGGGAGATGTTCATGATTCTGCCTCGATCGCAGACGATGAGGAAGTAGACTGAAAAGTTTAATGCCGTTGTAATGGAAGTGTCTCTTAAAGAATGAATTTGAGTGAGATGGCAATTTCATCGAGTTTATCAAAATTTTGATCAGAAAGTGAGAGCGACGTATCATGAGCAAACAAGCAAATGTCTCCGGAATTTAGAACTGATGGAAGATCATTTACAAAGACAAGGAACAGCACCGGATGGAGGACTAACCCCTGAGGCAAGCCACGGGCAGACTCACAATGAAGCGAGCAGTAGGTTTTCAGATATCCCAATTCATCTACTGCCTCAATCATCACAAAAGGTTTTCGACCAGTAATGAATGAACTAAACCATTGCAGTGCCAGCCCCCGCACTCCAAGACAAGATGCTTATCAAGAAGCAACATGTGATTTACCATATCGAATGCTTTGCTTAAGTCAAAGAAAATGCCCATTGTATGTTCACCTGCATTTAATGAATTAACCAAATTTGAGATAAAATCGGTCAATGCATGTGGTCAAGTAGTGGTTTTGTTTTTAGTAAATCCATACTGTTTCTCTGATGTAATATTATTTTTTTGGAAAAAATCCAATAGTCTAAGTAGTGTTATATTTTTTAATATTTTTGATATAGATGGTGGCTATAGGTCTGTAGTTATCGCAGAGGTGGTGATCTCCTTTTTAACAAAATTCCCTATAGGGAAGTAGCTATTACCGTAGGTGGCATAGTAAGACCTAGATCCGGGACTGATTTACTTTTTCATTTTGATGTCCCCAGAGGCCAAAAACACCATTTGTTCAAATTTTTATATATGTATATATATACGGTATATATGTGTGTGTCCGTGAACACGATAACTTGAGTAATATTTGTCCGATTTTGATGAAATTTGGTTTGAAGATGTAAGGCGGGATAAACTTGAATGAGTTTGCGAACCAGCATGATCGGACCATGGGAACGGGGTTTTACGGGGGGTTTTATGGGGTAAAAATTGGTTATTCTAATTTTTGACCCTCTAAACACAAAATTTACCAATTTCTCTCCAGACCTTTTTAAAGAGCTTACAAAAACAAATAATTTAGTATATCAAAGTGTTTTTGTACAATTATTGGTTACGGAGAAAATTCAAAAGATTGTTATTTTAAAATTCCCATGTTATTCTTATGCAGAATGATGAAAAATGTTGTAGTTTGCTTGTTTATGGATATATTTTGATCAAACTTGGTATATTGATTTATTTTATAGTAAATTATTAATATTTTACAAAAAATACTCTTTTTTACCCTCCCTTTAGCAACAAGAATAGGTCCTCATAAAACCTAATGTTAATTAAATACATTTAATTGAAAATTAATTCAGGCAAATGGAAATTCGCTTAGTCTGCAGGTTTGCTGCGGGGGGAGTATTTATGGAATGGCTTGATAATGGACGTTTTCAGGGCATCTGGGAACTGGCCACTATAATTTATAGAGAATACTATGAATATACTATGAATAAATACTATTATAACACAAAAATCAATACGAAATAAAATATACAATAATGTTTTGATTCTGCGGTATTAATGGAAGATGGTATTTAAAAAATGTTACTATCAATATAGTGTGGCTAAATAGTGAAAATCAAGAATTCTAGAATTCAGATTCAAGAATAATTCTGATATTACTAGTCCTATTATACTACCAATTGAGATGGCGACGCCCCTAGGTGTATTTTTACTAAAATGAGTGTAGAATGAAGTGAGATGATCTTTGTAGCTTTGTTACCGTAATGACTAAGATCAGCAGTTTCATTAGCTGAATTTATTTAAATCCCAATAAACGTGAACAGCTGGGTCCAATTTGAACCATAAAAAAGCTACTAACTATTCTGAGGATCGAACTGGCAACCTTTTAATTAATAGGCGAGCAGTTTAACCGTTTAGCTATCCAGCTACAGTATTTTGTAGAAATTATTAACGTACATTTATAGAATTTTTTAGGCCTAACGTTAACATGTAGAACATTTAAAAAGCAGTATCAATATCTATGGTAAGAAATGTAGCCTATATTAAATGTCTTTGCATTACCTAATTTAATTGATCTTCTTCTCCTCATCATATCTATTTAGTTTTCATATAAGTCATCACTGTTTAGTTTAATGTGACGGAGCAAGCAGAATTAAACACAATTTTATGATTGTAGTTTATTTAATTTTTGCTAACACAGAGAAACTTTGCACCATTATGTTCAGGAAAAATGTAGTTTTATTGTAGGTTCAAATCAATATAGGTAGGTTCTCGTGGTCATCTTATTGTAAAATGGTTTCAAATCCTATTTTAACAATTCCTAGCAGTATGAACTTGAATTAAATGTGAATAATGTAATCAGATGATTCTTAAATTGCTGAATTATAGTTAATGAAGATGTCACTGTTCGTTGCTTGACATATGGCAGAAAACAATCAGGTGTAGCGTACTTCACAAAAGTTCATCACACAAAATAATCTTTCGATCCAGGAGATAAAAAACTATAAAACGCTATATTCAAATTTAAATTGAAGGCGACAGTATCCTTCACAAAAAATACCGATGGATTTTGTTTGAATTTTGTTTATTCTTCAATCAAGTTGATGAAGAGTCTTAAGCCAACTGACTGTGTTCCGTCTAAAATCAAGCCATACAAATAAGGAACTGGCTGTAGTGTGATAAATGATGTCAGTCAGCCTCCACTGCACATTATTTCTAGGAACCCTCACAGAAACACATTCAGTAGCAACTCAAGGCTGCTGGGGCCAGCTTTTCATAGAAAACAGAAGCAATCTCATCTTCTCTTCGCACAACTGATACTCGTTTCATTTAATTTATTCTATTATACACATATAATTAAAACCTGTAATTATGTATAGTAGCAAGGTATTTTCATTATTATTACAGTAGGCGTAGAGATAGTAGTTCTTCTTATTACATAAATAAACGGTCCAAAACTGATATTTTTGGTTAGCTTATTTATGCATTAGTTATTAATAATCTTAAGATAAATCAAATTTTATTTCAGACAGTGAAACATTATGAAGAAAATGCATTATAAAAAATGTAATACTTATAAGCCCTCCACTTTAGTCACTAAACCAAAATATAAATATTTTGATATGGAAGTCAAATACCCAATAAACTTTTTGAATTTAACAGATACTCAATTGTAGGGATAGTGTGCTATAAAAAGTTTGAGTTTTATGTTTACATTTTTCCAAGAACAATAGGCTACACATTAAACAAACATACCATATACCGTACTAAACTCCTTTTCTGAATAAAAACTATACTTAGGGCCTAATTAAATAAAAAGTTAATGTTTTTTAATTCAATAACATGCTTATATTAAAATATATCCTTATAAGGAGGTTCAAGCTTATCAAAATTATTTCCGCTGTACAATTAATATTGAGATAGTGAGGGATAGAAAGCCACTGTTGTGGGGAAATCTCAATCACGACTGTAAATGTGTCAACCGACCAGAGAGAGGCACACTGCATCACGGGGTCAGGGAGAACTGTTGAATGTGCACTGCTTGTTGGCAGAGACATAAGTAAAGAGACCTTGTTGATACAGTAGTTGCAGTTGAGATAACACTTGGTGAAACAGGAAAACGAATATTTGAAGTGCCAATGACCTTGTTGTGGCAGTTATTGTTGCTTACTTATCTCTTC